AAATTTGCTTCCGTGTTTAAGGAAAATGTTTTCGGAGAAAGTAAAATTCTTTGTGTTCATTTGGTAGTTTGAATTTAAAAAAAAATGTGTATGGATCTTCTGACTACAAGTACATATGTTTTGACATCTTTTTAAGTTTCTTGATTCTTTGGTTAAAAAATATTTTTTATGGTGTTCTAGTTTAAAAGGTAAGAAATGAAGTAAATATATCCCGATATATCAGAAAGGTTGTCATTCTTCATTTAGAAGCCACATTGAGTAACTAGATTTGCTTTTGTTCCTCAGTAAAAGTGCCTTAATTTATTTTATTGAAAGTGAGAGAAAATGAACTTGGATCTTCTGACTGCAAGTAAATATGTTTTGGTATCTTTTTAAGTTTCTTCTTTCTTTCCTTAAAAAATAATTTTTTATGGTGTCCCGGTTTGAAAGGTAAGAAAAGAAGTAAATATGTCGCGATGTATCAATTTGAAAGAAAAAGTTATTTTAATGACACTTTTTCTTGAAGAGTCGAGAAATTTTCTTATGTAAAGCTGAAACAATTAGTGTGAATATAAAACATGGATGCTTGGTTATTAGGATATTCATCTTATGTGAGAAAGGTTGTTCTTCTTCATTTTAAAGCTACATCGTGTAACTAGATTTCCTTTTATTCATCGGTAAAAGTGTTTTTCTTTATTTTATTGAAAGTGAGAGGAAATGAGCCTGGATCTTCTGACTGGAAGTAAATATGTTTTGTATCTTTTTAAGTTTCTTCCTCCTTTCCTTAAAAAATAATTTTTTTATGGTGTCCCGGTTTGGAAGGTAAGAAAAGAAGTAAATATGTCGTGATATATCAGTTTGAAAGAAAAAGTTACTTTAATGACGTACTTTCTCTCGAAGAGTTGACAAATTTTCTCACGTTGAGCTGAAAAATTAGTGTGAACATAAAACATGGATGCTTGGTTATCGGAATATTCATCTTATGTGAGAAAGGTTGTCGTTCTTCATTTTAAAGCTACATCGGGTAACTAGATTTGCTTTTGTTCATCGGTAAAAGTGCTTTTATTTATTTTATTGAAAGTGAAAGGAAATTGGTTTATTATTTCAAAAGAAATTTGCTTCCATGTAAGGAAAAGTTTTTCGATTTCTTTGGTGAAAGTAGAATTCTGTGTCCGTCCGGTAGTTTGAACTTAAAAAAAAATGTTTATGGATCTTCTGACTACAAATAAATATGTTTTGACATCTTCTTAAGTTTCTTGATTCTTTCTGTAAAAAATAATTTTATATGGTGTCCCATTTTGAAAGGTAAGGAAGTAAATATATCTCGATATATCAGTTTGTAAGAAAAAAGTTATTTTGATGACGCACTTTCTTTTAAAGAGTTGACAAATTTTCTCACATAGAGCTGAAAAATTGATGTGGACATAAAACATGGATGCTTGGTTATCAGGATATTCATCGTATGTGAGAAAGATTGTTGTTCCTTGGTAAAAGTGACTTAATTTATTTTATTGAAAGTGAGAGGAAATGAGCCTGGATCTTCTGACTGCAAGTAAATATGTTTTGGTATCTTTTTAAGTTTCTTCCTTCTTTCCTTAAAAAATAATTTTTTATGGTGTCCCGATTTGAAAGGTAAGAAAAGAAGTAAATATGTTGCGATATATCAGTTTGAAAGAAAAAGTTACTTTAATGACGCACTTTCTCTTAAAGAGTTGGCAAATTTTCTCACGTAGTGCTGAAAAATTAGCGCGAACATAAAATATGGATGCTTGGTTATCGGGATATTCATCTTATGTGAGAAAAGTTGTCGTTCTTTATTTTAAAGTT